AAAAATTCCGCATACTTCGCCTAGAGAAAAGCATATATACTCTTATTCATATGAGATAATCTTTTCAACTTTTGATGCATGCTTTTTATGTCCGACTATTCACAGCTCTTTCCAAATGGATTTGTCTCGAAATAATAGCCGTATAGTTTACTACCTGATCCATCGTATTCTGTAACTTTTCAATACTGCTTTTCGGATCTTGCTAATTGAGCATCAATGGACTGCTGCGTCACTAACTCTGAGTGTAAAACACGAGCCGAAAACAAAAGTAACTTATGCGAGTAGTGAACTCAATTGTGTTTTACTCTTTCTTTCGCGCCTCTACCCCGGCCTCGGTACCATTCTTCACACACACACACACATGCACAAAACTGGTTCTTTGACAACCATCAGACACCCTGGCCCAACGTCACCATTGACGCCTTTGAGCCTGGACGCGTCTATCAGTTCCGTGTGGCTGCAGTTGGTGTCCAAGGCAGCCGTGGCTTTGGACCTTCTTCCGACGGCTACCCACCGCAACCACGAACCCCTCGACCACCGTCGCCTCCTCGCAACCTGACTGACGCCATTTGGCGGCTCTACTCAACTGGCCAGGCTAGCGTCCTGCTCACCTGGCGCGAGCCGGAGCACCATGAACTACCGATTTCCGAATATACAGTAAGCTTTTGGGTTCTCGCAACAGTTCAGTCTTGGGGATTTTGCCCATCAAGACACTGTATTTAGTCTGAGGTGGGATTAATAGTTGGTCATCTCAGGTCGCTTAATGCTATTTAAGAGTCGGTAGCAAAATTCCTCACGATTAAATGGATTGTGGCTATAACGATGACACGAATGCAAGTGAATAAAAGGTAGATGTGACTTCAAGGCAAGTCAGACCTCTGCCAAATCATATTTTCTAGTGGGATTATCGATTAAACCATTAAGTATTTTCCAATGCAATTCACGATACTACTTATTTTCCATGTGAATAAGTTTCGAATCCATCAGAAATACATGGATAAGAACTTTGGTATTTGTGAAGCAAAGTTGGGTTTCGAAGAATCTCCTGTTTCATATTTATTGAGTAAAAGAGTTTGGTGAAGAGATTCGAAGGTCGATCTCACCAGAAGACGACAACGGATTCCTCTTGAACAGATGTCGATTGACTTTACCGGAACATTCTTGTGGATCTTGTTTCCGTGGTAATCTCCTTCGATTCCGGTTAAAAGGTGCTAAGCTTTCGTCCATCGTATGATGAATATCATCATACTTACGAGTCAAGAAACTTCATATATATATCTACGAAAGCTTAGTACGTTTTCACCGGAATCGAAGGAGGATACCTCGGAAACAGCGTCCACGAGAAAGTTCCAGTAAAGCCACTCGACAGCGGCTGAGATCGACCTTCGAATCTCTTCACCGAACTCATTCACTCGAAATGGAAGTAGACTCAACGATAAGTAATCGGTTAAACTGGCTCACTTTAACTGCAAAATATGCTCATACTTTATGGAGAAATGCCTTATTTTCTTCAGAGGGATTCGTAAATTGTGCCCACCGGAAACCGAAGAAGAATTGCTTTGACATTGTGTCGGCTGGATTGTGCGAAGAAGTCCTTGGTTGTACGCTTCTGCGATCAGGATTCATTAGTGCTCATCTTTCGTCCGCGATTTGACAGACACAATCAAAGTCCAAAATGACAAAGCTAAAACATGCGCCAGCATTTCAGGAGCAAATAGTTTATTTCTATCAAGCTTACTTCTATCAGGAAACAGTTATCGCCCATTCATATTCTCTTCATGCATCAGCCTCACTCATCCGCAAGCATGTAGAGCGAGCCTGACGCAGCCAAACAAATCAAACGATGCCTCATTACGAATGCAAAAATAGGCATAAGGAATAAGTATGCTTTTTTGGCGAAATGTTTCGGTGGGACTTTTGGTAAAGTATGATTTAGTGCTCAGGGTGATCCAAGGCCTTCTTCACTTAATCTAGTAGTGAAAAACATCATTAAATGTATGCCAACCTTAACTTATTTGC